GAAAATTACAATAGAAACCACAATTTTTGTGTTAGAGGAACAGACATAAATTCTTTTTTTTTACTTGGGGATTGAACCCTGGGGCACTTTACCACGTAGCTAAATTTCCAGTTCTTTTTATTTTGAGACAGGTTCTCACCAAATTGCTGAGGTTCTTGCTATGTTGCTGGGTCTGGCTTCAAACTTAGGATCCTTCTGCCTCAGCCTCCCAAGTCTCTGGGATGATAGGCATGTCTCACTACCCCTGGCTGAACCATCAATTCTTAAACACAAGTCACCAAAGATAATTTTATCCTATTTTTGAGTAAATAAAAATTCAAATAACAAAATACATTTTCTCAAGTTTCCAAAAGGATCATTTGTGATGAGAAATCTACCATTTTAAAATCATATTTCCTATTTCCTGTTATTTTTGTTACCAGGGATTGAACCCAGGGACAATTAACCATTGAGCCACATCCCCAGCCATTTTGTACTTTTTATTTTAAGAAAGGGTCTAAATTAGTTACGGTATCACTAAGTTGCTGAGGCTGGCTTTGAACTTGTAATTCTGCTTCCTCAGCCTCCCAAGTCACGGAGATTATAGGTGTGTGTGTGCCTCCATACCCATTGTACCTGACATTTCTGTGCTATAAATAATATATACGTGATGTATTTTCAACGTTTAGGGATTTAAAAAATTCCTCAGCTTTTTCAGAGTGAGATGGTGCTGTTCTTTACTTGAATCAAAGAGATTAATAGCAGTTACTTTTTTTTTTAACAGTTATGTTTTTACCTTAATGCATTGTCTCCTACTCCAAGACACCCACGAAGACTTAACTTTCGTAAAAAGCCCCCACATCGTTTTGAAATATTCTCCACTACTCGACCCTATAAAAAGAAACAGGTAAACAAAAAGATGACCAATCTGATTGCTTTTGAAAAGAATACATCTTCATTTTTGACAATTTATGGACAGAGAGAAAAGGTTTCTACTTGTTTCAAAGACCTAATTAAGTAGGAAAATTTCAACTTCCTTTGGGAATGCTTTCCTGATTAGCCCATCTACTTAAAACATGCCTGAACTTTACTTTATATTCTTATTTATTTGTTCAATTTGTAAAATATTCTATATTGAGTCTTTATGGCACTATATGCATGTATACTGCCCCCTTGGGTTAAATCATAGCCACTAAAGGACAACAACTACATTTATCTTTGTATACTTTCCAAAATATTTATTATAGCACTCTGCATATAGCAAGACTCAAAGAACACTTAAAAGGTTGGTAAATGATTTTGTGAGCTGTGCTGCTTTAAATATCTTAACATCCATGAAGATCAAAGAATTGTGGAAAACAATTCAATATAATGTTTGTAGTTATTATTTTAAAAACATCTTGTGAAGATAATGGAAGGTTCATATAAGGTTTTTAAAAATTCTTCAAGTGGGCCCTTAAGAGAATTTGTTTCTGCTGGAAATTTAAAAGAGAAAGAGAGAGGGGGGGGGGACAGGCAGAGAGAGAGAGAGAAAAGGAGAGGCAAGTGGAGAAAGAGAAGGGAAGAGATTCTCAATCTTCTTAACACTATGAGTTATCTCTTATGTTCACTCTTCTGAAGAGAGAACTAAGGACTGCTTTAAATTCAGCTAAAGTAATTCAAACTCAAGTCATAATGTTTTCTATTTTAAAGATAAAAGGTTATACTAAAAGGTGAAATAGGTGGGTAGGGGATGAGCAAGAGGAGACAAAAAAAACTGTTTCTAACAAAAATAATTTAATGAATGACACTGGTTTAATTCATTTTACATTCTCCACAAAAACTATTACCTTTGATTCACCAAGGGCCAAAATGCACATCTGAAGTATAATATAGCCAGGCAAAGTGGTACATGCCTGTAATCTAGAAGCTTAGGTGGCTGATGCAGGAGGATCACAGGTTCAAAGCCAGCCTTAGCACTTAGTGAGGCCCTAAGCAACTCGACAAGACTGTCTCTAAATAAAATATAAAAAAGGGCTGGGGATGTGGCTCAGTGGTTAAGTGCCCCTGGGTTCCATCCCCAGTACCAAAAGAAAAAAAATAAAATAAAATAAAAGCCAGCCTTAGCAGCTTACAAGGACTTAAGCAACTTAGTGAGACCCTGTCTCAAAATAAACAATAAAAAGGGCTATGTCCCCACATAGCTCAGTGGTGAATTACCCCAGGGTTCAATCCCCATACCCCCCTCCAAAAAAAATATATGTAGCTGGGTGTGTGGTGGCTTAGACCTATAATCCCAACTACTTAGGAGGCTGGGGAAGGAGGATCACAAATTTGAGGCCAGACTGCAAAATAAAAAATAAAATATACTGGAGACATAGCTTAGCAATAGAGCATCCCTGGGTTTTATTCCAAGTACCACAAAAGTAAAATGAAAAAAAAAAAATGCAAATATCACCCCCCCAATAAGTTATAATTGTACTTGTTCTTCAATAAACAAATACAAAAATGACTTCTTTAAAACAAGCAAACACAAAATACAAGTTCACATTTCTACTGCAAAACCAAAAATTTTTCAGTCCTTTTCAGGACTAATATTTTTCTAGTATTACTTCAGTGAAATAATCCACTTATTTTCAAAAATTCAATAAACTCTTGGGAACTTTGGAGGCTACCATGAAGTTTAGATGTACTGAAAACAATAGTTCCTCTCTTGAGGGAAAACAAGATTTATATGGCTGAGGCTAACTTGTCCCATGTTGTAATTACTTGCAAGAGAATTAGGGCCACACACCACAAAATTATACCTCAATATCTCTCTGGAAATCAAACAGGTCAATTCGTTGCCAGTTACTGCCATCCAAAGCCAGAACATTCCAGGCCTATTTTGAAGAAAAGAAATAAGCAAAATTTAAAATGAAAAGAAAACAATATTCAAATTTACAATTCAACCAACTAATGACTGAAATAGATCAAAAAATTTCCTTAGCTTCTATCACTACTCCCAACAGGTGTGCCTTAATCCTGGATCCATGCTTTACTCTCAAATGAGATTATCTCATAAAATGAGTAGGTATAGAAACTAACAGCTACAAAATATCTTAAATTAGGGAAATTGGGGAAACAGCAGGTTGTGATAAATATCATAGCCAGAAGGTATTTTGAAACTGCAAGATTCCAATTTCACATTTATTTATTTATTTGTGTGTGTGTGTGTTTTGCTGGGAATTGAACCCAGGGGTGTGTGTGTGTGTGTGTGTGTGTGTGTGTGTGTGTTTTGCTGGGAATTGAACCCAGGGCCTTGTGCATGCAAGGCATGCACCATACCAACTGAGCTATATCCCTAGCCCAAGATTCCAATTTCTAATCTCAAAATGAGACAGAATTTTAGGTGATGAAGAACAAGTCTTAGCTCCATCCCTAAATTGGAAACAAGATGTGAAACCAACGGAATGGGACAGTACACCAAATGCTGCTCTGTTTAACACATATCTATTATCTATAGTATCACTTGGTTAGATATGAAATTGTGACATGGTGATTTGGGACTTGAAAATTATATATTTTTTGTATAATTTCTCTGTATTTCATGTTTTCCTCATTACCAATTTACTCAGGTAGGTTTATAGGTTTTTCAATTAATCATCATTCTATCCCCAACTTGATTCGGTGGTAATTTTATTTATTTTTAAAATTATTTATTCTTTAATTTTTGCAGTACTGGAGACTAAACCCAGGGGTATACTATCACTGAGCCACAATCCCAACAATTTTTTATTTTCAGACAAGGCCTTATTAAATTGCCCAAGATGCTCTTGAACTTGTGATATTCCTGCCTTAGGCTCTTTAGTCCCTGTGATTTCAGGCATAGGCCACCTCATTCACCTTCAATGGAAAGTTTAAGATTTTCATACATCTTAAACAAGAAAAGGGAGGTAAGAAAGGGAGAAATGAGTCCAGTGGGAGTTAATTTGTTGTCGCTCATTCTATATTTTCCTTTAAAAACTTTCCCTGTTAAATTTAAAAAATAAAAGTATTGGACTGGTGGTGTAGCTCAATGGTAGAACACTTGCCCAGCATGTGCAAGGCCTTAGGTTTGATCCCCAGCACTGCAAAACAAAACAAAATAAACAAAAGTTTTAATATTAGAGTCATAAAGTTATGAGTCTTATCTTTAATAAAATTTAAAAGGGATTTAATATTGATTATACTTATAGCTATTTCTCTGAAATTTTTAAAAAAGAATTTCTGGATATACTTATAAGCCTTAGGATAACTGTCACATAATCAATAAGAAGAATGTCAGGGGTATGAGGGTAAGCAAGGAGTTATTATAGAAATAGCTGCAGTTTTCTCAGAAGTTTAATGTTACTTTTCTTTTAATGGCTTCATTTTTCCAGTGGCTTAAGTGGTTAGCCAGGGGAGGCAACCAATAAAACATTTAAAGGTTATATGTTTAATAAATTCTTGGGCTAAATGAATCTCTGATTGATGTGCTATTTGCTCAGGTCATAGCTCTAATCCGTTTTAAAAATCTGTTATAGCTACAGTATTTTTGTGATTTACTTTTTTCTACATTTATTTATTGGTTCTTTTTAGTTATACATGACAGCAGAAACCATTCTGATATAATTTACAAGCATGGAATATATCTTCCAGTTAGAATTCCATTCCTTTTTTGGGGGGGCGGGTACAGGGGATTGAATCCAAGAGTGCCTAACCACTGAGCTACATCCTCAGCTCTTTTTTTATATTCAGAGACAGAATCTCACTGAGTTGCTTAGGGCCTCCCTGCGTTGCTAAGACCTCTTAATCCTGCCTCAGTCTCCCGATAGGATCCCATTCTTATGAATGTTCATGATGGTAGTATTCACTGTGTTGTTTTCATATATGTACATGGGAAAATTATGTCAGATTCATTGCACTTTCTTATTCTCTCTCCTTTTCCTCCTTCTTCCATTGTTAATCTATTGCACTCCTATTCTATTCTCACACACACACACCTGTGGTTTACTTTTTATTATGAAAAATGTCAAAATTATAAGAAAATTGAGACTAATAGATAGTTAATAATTAATACTTGTACCATGAATATTTTACTGTATTTGTTTATTTTTCTGCTTTAGCTCTTTTAAAGTGAATTGTAGGCATTATTACATTTGACACTAAATACTCTGGCAAAATTATTTCCTAGTGTCTTCTAATAGCCACTCCATATTTTATATATATTTTTTCCAGTTATCTCAAAAATGTGTTTTGGCCAGGTGTGCTGGTGCGTGCCTGTAACCCAACTACTCAGGAGGCTGAGGCAGGAGGATCTCGAGTTCAAAGCCAGCCTCAGCAACAGCAAGGCGCTAAGCAACTCAGTAAAACCCTGTCTTGAAATAAAATACAAAATAGGACTGGGGATGTGGCTCAGTGGTTAAGTGCCCCTAAGTTCAATCCTTTGTGACCCCCCCCCCCCCAAAAAAATGTGTTTTGTAGCTAGTTTATTCAAGCCAGAATCAGTCAAGAATTATGTATTATATTTAAGGCCCCAATCTTAAATTTTTGAAAATCTAGAACAGCCCTAGGTTAAGTATTTAATCTAGCAAGTTCAGGCCCTGTGGTCTACCCAGAAATTAAACAAACAAACAAATAAACTTGGGATGATGGAGAGGGGGAAGAGTAGAAGTCCATTTGATTAGACAAAGGGGAATGAAGGGAAAAGGGGTGGTGTGGGAGAGGAGAATCGGAAGGACAGTAGAATTAATGGGACATAATTTTCCTATCCTTGCATTTTGAATACTCAACCAAGGTAATTCCACATCATGTACAACCTCAAGAATAGGGTCCTAATTAGAATAAATTATACTCCATGTATGTATCATGCCAAAATACATTTTATATCTAAAAAGAAAGCCTTGACTAAGAATTAACTAAGAAATTAAATTTAAAAATGCAGTAATAATTAAAAAAAAAAGCCTGAAGCATTGTAAATTGGAATAGTCAAAAGAGGCTTAATTGAGGAGAGTGACTGATAAGAACACAAATGAGAGAACAGAGATTAAAATTAATTTTTGTAAAAAAAAATGTTTTTTTAACTGATTAGCACTTGACTTTTCAAGTACAGTTTGGGGACTACTGCCAATTGCTTACAAAAAATAATTTTTTTTTGTTTTACAGTGGGCAAATCAAACTAGCAGATTTTGGACTTGCTCGGCTTTATAACTCTGAAGAGAGGTGAGACATTCATCAAAATTATATGTGGGACTGGGCATGGTGGCACACACCTGTAATCTCAACAACTTAGGGAGGTCCTAAGCAACTTAGTGAGACACCCTGTTCAAAATTAAAAGGGACTGGAGATGTGGCTCACCCATGGGTTCAATCTCCACTATGTAAAAAAAACTTACATGTGAGAAGGATCTCTAGAGGCCCAGGGAGTTTAAGGCCAGCCTGAGCAACATAGACTATGCCTCAAAAAATAAAAATAGCAAAATTTAAATTGTAGGTGGACACAGTACCTTTATTTATTTATTTATTTGTTTGTTTATGTGTAGGTGAGGATTGAACCCAGTCCGTCACACGTGCTAGGCAAGCATTTTACCACTGAGCTACAACCCCAGTCCCCTATCCAGATTACTTTTAGATTGTTAGATTGTTGTGAGCTGTTTCAACAATTTCATCTTCAATTGGAAGCTATTTTTGTTTGCCTTTAGCTGTGTATTTATCATCAAAATCATTGTAAATTTATATAATGATGGTTTTACATTGCAGTCGTCCTTACACAAACAAAGTTATTACTCTATGGTACCGACCTCCTGAGCTGCTGCTGGGGGAAGAGCGCTATACACCAGCCATAGATGTCTGGAGCTGCGGGTAAGGTTCTGTTAATACTTTCTTTTGTCTGTAACTCACATATTATTGATCTGTACTCTGTTTTCTCTCTACATTGGCTTTTAACAGTTCTTCTACAATTCTAAAGTTTCTCTGCGGAGTATTAATATCAGTGATACACCTTTTCTTTAAACATTTCCTCAATTGTCTTTTTTTTTTTAACTTCATTTGAATTAGGATTTAAGTGATTAAGATCCACAGATCATAGTTGATTACCCCAAGTCTTTTAATTAGACGTCCTCCTTCCATCTCTCTGTTTTGTTTCCTTACACTTTCCTTAGAGGAAACTAGGTAATTTGTTCTGTAGACTTCTCACAGCCTGAATTTTGCTGATTGTATCCTTATAGCTGGTTTTTATTTTTTTGCTTTTTTTTTTTTCCTTCCCTCTCTTTCATTCCCTCATCCCCTATACACTCAGTACCAGGGATTGAACTCAGGGTTGCTTAACCCTGAGCCACATCTCTAGCCCTTTTTTATATTTTATTTAGAGACAGGGTCTCACTGGGTTGCTTAGGGCCTCTCTTAAGTTGTCCAGGCTGGCTTTGAACTTGAGATTCTCCTGCTGCAACCTCCCACACCTCCAGGATTATAGACGTGTGTCACTGCTCCTGGCTCTCTCATGCTCTTTATCCCTTTTATTTTCTGTAAATTGTAGGGGAATTCAGGGTTGATTTCTCAACCACCCACTGACCCTTAAACTACTTTACACAGGTGGGTTTGAGGTTTTTATTTTCTTTTGGGGGAGATGGGTACTGGGATTGACTTAGGAGCACTCAACCACTGAGACACATCCCTAGCCATATTTTGTAATTTTTTTTTTTTTTTTTTTTAGGCTGGCTTTGGATTTTGAGTGCTTCTAACAGAAGATCAGTGGTAGATCAGAATTGAGGGTAGCAAGTGATAGGAACCACTGATAAGAGAACAAACTGTGAATGAGTGTGTTATATATTGAGAATTTAAAAATAATGAAACAATCCACTATAAATAAGTAGCTTTTGATTATGGCCGTTTGGGGACGGTTATAAACAATGCCTCATAAAATATTAATCCCTATTCGGGCAGATTTACACACATACCCCACTTGATAAATAACAGTTGTCTCTATTAATTTATTTTGGCCTTTGTCTATATTTTTACAGTTGTCTCTTTTTATGATATTATTAACTATTGATGATCATTGCCTATATCCCTTAATTCATTTGTGGTAATTTTATAATGGTAATATTCTCATCATACCATTCTTTATTAGAATATTTATATAAAGATAATACCCCAGGTACAAACTGTGTAGAAAAGTTAGGATAATGCTTAATTCTGTTTATTTACCAGTTCAAAATAATGACGTAGTTTTCCACTATTCCCAGAGATAACCAGTGAGAAAGATTTTGGTTTTATTTTTTACTTTAATTTTACAAACTCCTGGATTTAAGCATATTTGATGTGTTTTAATTCATTGTAGTTATTATCCTTATTCCTGTTTAAACTATCTAGTTTTTTTTTACCAGTGGGAGCTTTGTCAGGTTATTTCTTGAGTTTTGTTGATAATCATCGTGGTTTTTTTTGTTTATTTGTTTTTTTGGGTACTAGGGATGGAACCAAGGGGCTCTTTACCACTGTACTAAATTCTCAGCCCTTTTTATTTTTTTAATATTTTTTTAGTTGTAGTTGGACACAATACCTTTATTTTACTTATTTATTTTTATGTGATGCTGAGGATCAAACCCAGAGCCTCACGTGCTAAGCAAGTATTCTACCACTGAGCTACAATCCCAGCCCTTTATTTTAGAGATGGGGTCTCATCAAGTTAACTGCTTAGGGCCTCACTAAATTACTGAGGCTGGCCTCAAACTTGCAATCCTCCTGCCTCAGCCTCCCAAGTGGCTGGGATTATAGGCATATACTATTGCATCTGGCTTCAATAGTAGTCATTGATATTCTTCCTTATTTTTTGGTTTCAGGCTTATCCTATCCTGTTCATTTTTTGCCCTACTACATGATATTAGCTATTACTCTAAAAAGCCTTCATTCCTTTGTGGAAAATTACAATAGAAACCACAATTTTTGTGTTAGAGGAACAGACAT